GGGCTGTTGTAGATAGGGTCGCTATGAGTCGCAAGCAACCTGACAGCACCTAACAACAACCTAAACATCTCCAACAAATTGAAAAGAACAGTAAGAAAACCCTTCACCCTTTAAAAAAAAACCTGAAATTATAAAAAATAAGTCAGAAATAAATGAAATAAACAATTGAGACCATCAACAAAACAAAGTGTTGGTTCTTTGAAAAGGTCAATAAAATTGAGAAACCACTAGCAAAACTAACAAAGGAAAAGAAAGTAAAGACACAAATAATCCTAATAAGAGATGAAAGGCGCAATGTCACAGCAGAACCAAGTAAAATAAAAAAGTTAACAATGGAATATTGTGAAAAACTATAAACAAATATGAAAACTTAGAGGAAATTGACAAATACTTAGAAACCCACAACCTACCTAAACTAACACAGACTGAAATAGTGCACCTGAACAGACCTATTATGAAAGAATATATTGAGTAGGTAATAAAACAATTCCCAATAAAAAAAAGGACCTGGACCGGATGGTTTTACAAGTGAATTTTATCAAACATTCAGAGAAGAACTGTCACTAATTCTACATAAAGTACTTCAGAAAATAGAAGTTGAAAGTCTCCCTGACTCATTGTATGAAACAAAGATATCATTGATACCAAAGTCAGGTAAAGACGTAATCAAAATAGAAAACTATAGGCCAATATCTCTTATGAACATAGAAGCAGAAACACTGAATAAAATCCTAGCCAATAGAATCCAACAGAACAGCAGAAAAATAATTCACCATGACCAAGTGGAATTCATAACAGGTATGCAAGGATGGTTCAACATAAAAACAATCAGTGTAATTCATCACATTAACAAAGCAAAGAACAAGAACCATATGATCCTATCAATTGATGCAGAAAAGGCCTTTGACAAAAATCCAATTCCCTTTCTTGATTAAAATACTCAGCAAAATAGGAATAGAGGAGAATTTCTTCAACATAGCAAGTACATAAGAAAACTAAGAGCCAACATCATTCTCAATGGAGATAGATTAAATGGATTCCTTTTGTGAAGAGGAACTAAGCAAAGATGCCTACTATCACCTCTCCTATTCAATATGGTATTGGAAGTCTTAGTGATAACAGTAAGAGTGAAAAGAAGGAAATAAGCAGCATCCAAATTGGCAAATAGAAGGCAAAAATTATCTCCATATGTGGATGATATAATAATATACTTAGAAAATCCTAAAGACTCAGTGAGAAAACTACCAGACATAGTCGACCAATTCAGCAAAGTGGCAGGATACAAAATCAACAATCAAAAATAAATTGGATTTCTCTATAAAGGTCAACAACTCAGCTGCAAAATTGGCACAGATTAAAAACAGACAGTTCACCAAAGAAGACATTCAGATGGTGAACAAACATAAGAGGAAATTTTCAAAATCCCTATCTATAAGAGAGATGCATATCAAAACAACTATAATATATCATCTCACCTCAGTAACCATAGCAAAGTTCAATAGAGCAGCAAACAACAAATGCTTATGAGGTTGCGGAGAAAGTGGAACCGTTATTCACTATTGGTGGGAGTGTAAAATGGTGCAACCACTCTGGAAGGTAATATGTCACTTTCTCCAAAAGTTGGAAATAGAAACACCATTTGACCCAGGAATTGCACTCCTGGGAATAAGCCCTAAAGAAACCAGAACTGACACCCAAACCAATATATGCACACCAGTGTTGATTGCTTCTTTGTTCACAATATATTGCAAAGAGCTGGAAGCAACTCAAGTGCTCATCAACCAATGGATAGAGAAGCTGTGTTATATTCACACAATGGAGTACTACACAGCACTGAAAAACAAGAAACTCATAAAATATACAAAATGGGTGACTCTGGAGGACGTTATGCTGAGTAAAATATCTCAGTCATGAAAGGACAAATGCTGCATAGTATCACTGCTATAAAACAGAACTGACATTGGGGTCTTGGGAAAACTAAGAAAAGAGGGGGTGAATAATGAACACTACATTGGAACAGAGGAGATAAAGAATTGTTTAAAAGGAATATATAGTTAAGCATTATTTGCATGACAACAGTCCAGTTTAAGAGTTGCATAGTAAGAACTGGGGTAAGGAGGAGGGAGGAAATTGTGCAACAATGAATGAATCTTTTAAAGAGAAAAGCAAACTGCAGGAGGCGGTATGGAGGGAACTGTGCAATAATGAATGAATGGAAATCCAAATTTTCTATAGATTTTTGTTTAAATCACAATTAAAAAATTATAAAAAAGAAAATAAAAGTGAGGAGGATTTTAAGTGCTTTCTGCAGAAGATGAAAGAATACAGCCTTCAATAAGGGTTGCATCTCAAAATTTAAAAAAAAAAAAAAACCCCACCACAATAATTCTCAAAAATGCCAAGTACAGAGGCTACATCAAAACAGGAGAAACTGCAGTGAGCTATAAAATTGACATGAAGTTGTTTCTCTGGTGCCTGGGCAACAGTTAGCACCTTGCTCTCCGTGATATTCATAGTCACTCAGTTGATCTGGTATGTCTGTCACTAGGTTTGTTAACTTGACAGATGCAATTCACTGTGTGTCTTGGGAGTATACCTTGTCCTGTTTTCTGTCATAAATGTTGCTCTATTATTATATGAAAGCTGAATGGTGACTTTAAAATTAGCAATATTTCCATGCAGTATGAGCAGCTATTACTGACTTGAGTGAGAGCACTTGTAGCTGACTATTATACACTAAGGCAAAACAATTGCAGGTGTCTGGGTTAAAGAATGCAATGTTTGATTAACCCTGGGTCTAATCCCAGTGATGGACAGGTGGGGAGAGTGATCCACATTCAAGCCTCCACACTTTTTGCTTGGAAGTTTGTGATGACTAATTGATTCTTTTGTTTTTCCACTTTCTGCTTCTCCAATTCCTTATGTACAGATCAGTCTGGGATCATGTCATCAATAGGATGACATCAACACTCAGCTCCAAAGTCCCCCTTAATACCTCATCACACACATAGACTTACTTCTTACACCTCTCCCTGAGATTGGAAGTTCTTCCCCAATTAATTTTATCTCAAATGATAAAAAAATCATACTTCAAGATACTCTAATTTGCTTCTTACAATTTCCTAGCCAGTTCCAATTTCTTGGAGAAATGGCTGATCATAGAACTAGAGTAAGAAATGTACAAGATAGGCAGGAAGCATTTTGGAGTGTCAGAAAAGATTTAATTTGAAACAGGTTGGTTTTAGAACTTCTTCCCTTTGAAAGAAGCATTGTTAGTCTGCTTTGATGATATTTTTGTGAATGTTTTATTCCTATTAGACCAGGATTTCTCAGCTTCTGCAACATTTTGGACTAGATGATTCTTTGCTGGGTGGGACTGTTTAGTCATAGTACATTTGAGAAAAGCTCACTCTCTCTACTAGATGCCAGTAGAACCTTCTTACTCCAGGTCACCCTACCCTAACAGTCTTGACAATCAACTATCTCTCTAGAATTAATAAAATAATTTAGCTGATTATTTGTCCTCCCTCCTGAGAGAGGACAGCAAAGTTATATTCCCACTATCCTCTGCTCTCCTTCCAACTCCCCATTGAAGCCACTGAAAAGAATATGCCTTCTGAAGTGAAAAGGCTGAGGCCATTCCATCTACCTTATTTTCTTCCTCCACTCTCCCTTCTTTTATCCCTCTTCTCTCAAGTTCCCACAGCATTTAAGATGTACATGCATTCTTTAAAGTTTGTAACACTGTAATTTGTACATAGCGTCTGCTTAACAAATGCCAACTGAATTCTAAATGCCAAGAATCTTAAATGTTATGGCCCTATCCCTGTCAAATAAAAACATTCTTTCTGAATTCAAACTTCAATGTTTGGAGAATTAATTTCTATTTTTTGGTCCTTTGAGGGAAACCTTTGTGTCTCTGGAGAGTCAACTTAGCTGATGGCCTGTGGGCCTGGGAGGCACACCTGAAATTTCAAGCAATAGTGCTTTAGACAGCCCTATTCAGACCCCAGCAAAGCATGACAGGCATTGGGCTGCGAATGCATGCTGATGAATGCATGGATGGGCTGTAACAATTAAATGAAGCCATATGCCTAAGTTTACAATTTGAGACACCATTTAAAAGCCATGTCTGTTTTCTCTGGCCTTTTTCTTTTTTTTTATTTTTTTTTCCTTGCCAGCAGAAAGGAGAGTTGTTGCTGGGCCAATTTTTGGCCACTAGAAATTTTGTATCACCAGAGCATCGGTTTCTTGTCATTAGTGTGAGCTAAGAGAATCTTAAATGTGAAACTTGCACAGAAGTGAGCTCCCAAAATATAACACGTTTAAGTCAGGCAACCTCTTTATTCCATGTGTTTGCTCCAGGTACTGTGTGCTGTGCTACTTCTTGGTAGATAGAGCCCAGAACTGGTGCCCATTGAAGGCTAATCTTTGGTGCTTTTTGTTATATGTAATGTGTAGCTGTGGTGCTGGAGAGGAGTATTGAATGTACTATGGACTGCCAAGAAAACAAACAGATTCATCCTAGAGAGGGTTAAACCAGACTGCTCCTTGGAGGCAAGGATTCTGGGGATTCGTCTGACATACTTTGGACATGTTGCAAGGAGGGACAGGTCTTTGGAGAGGGACATCATGCTGGCTAGAGTGGAGGGACAGCACAGGAGGGAAAGACCCTCTATGAGGTGGATTGATTCAGTGACTGGGGTAATCGGGATGGGTGTGTAAGAGGCAATGAGATTGGCACAGGATAGAGCAGGGTTTAGGGCTGTTGTACATAGGGTCACTATGAGTCGCAAATGACTGGACGGCACATAACAACAACAGCAACAATATGTAGCAGTATAATGCTTGTCATTTCCAAGATAATCCATTGCCCAGAGAGAACCTCTTGGTAATTTTCTTCCACAGGGAAAAAAAAATTGCTGACTAGCAGCTAAGACATCTGAATGGCCACCAGCCTCTCACTCACCACTACCCTCTTTCTTTCTCTCTCTCTCCAGAAGGAGGGACGTGTGAAGTGATAGCAGCACACAGATGTTGTAATAAGAATCGCATTGAGGAGCGATCACAAACAGTAAAGTGCTCCTGTCTGCCTGGGAAAGTGGCTGGGACCACCAGAAACCGACCCTCCTGTGTGGATGGTAAGGAGTTGCTTGTACTTCTTTTTCTAAGTTTTCTTCCAGGTGTTCACTATGTTTAATTCATTTTCTTGTTTCATCTAAAAATGGTTCAGGATAGTGGACAACTTCAATGCTCAGAAAAACATTCAAATTCTTGTTTCTCTGGGCTTGAGGGTCCCAGATTAGCTCTATTTTAAGTCTGTCTATTTTTTTAAGAGAAGATTGCTGTTGTTATTAGATGTTCTCAAGTTGACTGTGACTCACAGTGACCTTATGAACAACAGATTGAACTTACCCTATCCTGCACCATTGGGGTAAAAGAATGTTTTCAAGTCAAGAGATCTGAGGGCCCGGTTCCTCTGGGAGATCATTTTTTCTATGAATATAAGTAAACTATTAGAATTGAAAACTATACCCATGATAAGCTTGATAGATGCTATTTCTACATACGTATTTGTACCTACTGGAAATATATCCAGGTATATGGTGCAGCCAATAGGACAAAGAGATTATCAAGTTCTTAACCATAAGGATTGCCATAACTCTGAGGGGGAAAGCCTTCATTCACAGGGCCTTAAGACGGTGGTCTTACAGAAAATTGTTATGTCAGATCAATTAGTATACCATATACCACAAAGAAAATTATATGCATCCTGCTTTGGTGAGTACCTGATGGGGGCTTGAGAGCAACCATATAAAGTTAAATCATTGGTTTGGAGCAAAAAGGAGGGAAGAAAATAAAGGATGAATGGAAATAATTTGTCTATAATATGAGTAGGCCTCATAAACCTCCAACCCTCCATGACCCTGAAACCAGAAGATTTAGCCAGTGTCTGACCACCAATGCCGATATCTAGAACATAGAGGGACCCGCAGATGGATCATAATAGAGGGTTCTAGATAGAGTGGGAGACAAAACTCAAAACCATGAAAATGGCCAGATCTATTGGTATAATAAAGACTAGTAGACTCTACCACTCATGTTGTGGTCTTTTGTCACTCTTTGAGCCTGGAACAAAATTTATCCCTGTGGCTCAACATTCAGCCAAACAATAGACAAGTGAATAACACCAGGGAGGCACTCAGTCCTTAGAATCATAACTGTACAAGGTCAAAAGGGCAGCATCTTCCCAGAGATACAGCTCAGAAAGCAGGAAGGAAAAGGCTAGAAGGAATGATCCATGGGAAAGAAGCAAGAGTGCTGTTCCAGTATGCAGATTGTAGTCAATCTCATAAAACAGAGCTTGTAGATGGCTACATGTATACAGTCTGCTCTCTTAATTTTTACTCAAATCCAGATAATATTTTTAAATAAATTCTCTCAAGAATAAAATAAATTAATAATAATTAGAGTTGAATCCTTGAATAACATGGAGGTTAGGAATTCTGATTTTCTACCCAGTCAAAAATCCAAGTATAATTTAGTTGACACTTGAATGACACTTAAATGTTCAACTATCTGCTTAAAACACTAATCCTTTCTGCATGATCAGCTCATCAGATGTTCAAAATACTTAGGCTTACCACAACAGCAACAGAGAAAATGTCTCAGTGTAAGTGGCCCAAACAATTCAAACTTGTGTTCTTTAATATCTATTGGACTATGTGCAATGTTCAAAATAGTAACTATAGTAAAGGAAACAATAGTTTACCTTTATTCAGCAGGTATTTAATAAGCACATAATAAATGTTAGGCCTACATGATTGTGATACATTCATGAACAAATATAACTGTGTTGAGTATCAAACAGCAAGTCTGGGGCTAAGCACTACTTATGAAATACTTAATCCTTTCAAATATCCAACTAGGTTAGTTATCTACTACTTTGTAATGATTACCTCAAAACTTAGCTCCTTAAATCAGTGATTATTGTTTTATAGTGTCTGCACGTTAGAAATTCAGCCAAACTGAGTGACTCTGGCTCAAGGTCTTCCATACGGCCAAGATCTAGAGATTAGTGGTAGTTGCTGTCAGCCCTCGCTTATGGAAATCTTCAGTACAATAGGGAAAAAAAGCATTGTCCTGGCCCATCCCATAATCACAGTCCAGAGCAAATTCTATTTGAGGGCGTATCTTATACCACTTACACCAAACAATATTATGTTGTGATCAATAAAGTTTTCATGGCTAACAAAATTCAGAAGTAGATCCTTATTAGGCCTTGTTTCCTAGTTTATCTCAGGAAGCTCAGCTGAAAGCTGTCTATCGTAGGTGATCTCATTGACCTTTTACAGATATTGATGGCATAGCTTCAAGTATCACAGAGATACGCAGGCCTCTACAGTACAAAAACTCATAGATGGGTGTTGGGTAACATAATTAGTCCTGCTTAGCTAGTGCTGAAGATTGTTCTAGGCTGACTAGCTCACATGGTTTTGGGCAGGTGATGTTCATCTCTTGCCATGCAGACCTCTCCAGAGGAGTTTGATGTCCTCAACAGGGCAGCTCCCTCTGCGAACCAAGAGAGAATAACATGGAAGGCACAATGTCTTTTATGACTTAACCTCAGGGTTGTACTGTTTCATTTCTACAATGTCCTGTTGTTTAAACAAGTTAACCTAGTCAGGATGTAAAGGACCACAAGGACTTTAGTGGAAGGAGGGAGAAATCATTAAAGATTATTTCAATAAGCAGACTCTTCCCTTCACTCTCAATTTTAAAATTAATAAAATTAAACTTGGAAAGATAAAATCATTTCCCATTGTTATCATAATTTGATTGATTCTATAACAAAATTTTTACTATCACCTTTAAAAAAATTAATAGCTACTGTCAAACTGTGAGTCCAAGGCTCAAAGTGTCTACAGATTTCTTTCTTCATCTTTTATCTTTGATAATTTTAGATCTGAGTCTGATTTGATCCTCAAACTTCAGTAAGAAATACAAAGATAAATGAATCATTTGAGCAAGGTCACACACCAAGAATGAGAACCTCTCTTGACTTGGAGTTTCTTGTTCTTTCTCTGGATACAGATAGAAGAGGACATTTTCTAGATTGGTTTATTATTTTAGTCTCCTAGTACTACTATTTCATGAATACTTAAATCAGCTACTGTTACTTCACAGAACAGTAATTTATTTTTTCATAATTCTGGAAGCTAGAATTTCAAAGTCTCAATCATGTCATTCACTCCTTACAGTTTTCAAGAGTTCTTTGGTTCCTTGGCTGGTGAACAATAACCACATGGCATTTATCTTCCCCCCACCCCCCAAGCATAATTGTGTCTAATCTGCTCTTTTCATAACTCAGAACTGATCTAATTAACAAATCTTAGAAAGTCCCATTTTCACATAGGATGATAGCCACTATATTATAAAACATTTTTAAGGGACATAATTTAATCCATAACACTTTCTGTATATTTTCATTGTGTAACATTAGGGATGATAGAAAGAGAATTGATGCCTCTGAGCTGTGGTGCTGGAGAAGAGTGTTGAATATACTATGGACTGCTAAGAGAACAAACAGGTTTGTCCTGGAGAGTATGAAACAAGAATGCTCCTTGGAGTCAAGGATTCTGAAGCTTCATGTGACATACTTTTGGCATGTTGCAAGGAGGGACTGGTCCTTGGAGAGGGACATCATGTTTAGGAGAGTGGATGGACGGCACAAGAAAGGAAGACCCTCGATGAGATGCATCGATTCTGTGAGTGGAGTGGTGGGAATGAGTGTGTTTGAGACAGAGAGGTTGGCACAGGATAGAAGGGCATTTAGGGCTCTTCTACATAGGGTTGCTATGAGTCGCAAGCGACTCAATGACACATAACAACAACAACAACATTACGCTGTTAACAAGAGAAATAAATTCAGGTTAGGGTGAAAGAATTTAAGTTATTTTAAAGACATAAGAATCTCAGAGAATTTAAATGCCAGCAATTCAGCCCAACCTGTGGAATCTGGGAATGATTCTGGCAATTGCCATCTCATTTTCACATCTTCTTGATCTTAGTTTTCCTCTTCTCTTTTTTGTCTGGCATCTTACACAGTGATTTTAGCTTCTCTTCTCTCATAACCTAGGGAGCAGTGTGAGATTTTCATTCTGCTGGTGTCAATTGTAATGCAAATAGACATCATGAAATAACTTCCAGTCTATTAAATTGACTCAGTTCTGCTGTCTTGAATGCATATTCCCAGAATACAGGCTATGACCTTGGGCCAATATACTTTGCCCAGTCAGTTACAGTCAGTATGGCAAGGACATTCATATGTAAGGTCTGTCCTTTCTGTATCATGGAGAGGTCATAATTTTTTGAGGCATTCTCATTCATTAATTATTGTGTATTTTCCTCCCTCTCTCTTCCTTTACCCTCCCCAGTCCACTTTGTAATGTACCACTTGTTCCAGATTGTCATCATAAATATAATATCTAATCATACATATATCTTTAGATAATCATTCCCCTCATTTGTTTCAGTGCAGTGTTCATTTTCAGTTCACTTTTCCTATTCAGCCCCCAAACCCCCATGTCAGTCTTATTTTATAACAGTGGTGTGTAATACTAATTTGTCCTGTTGTGACTGAGATATTTCAGTAAGCATGTTTTCCAGGTTCACCCATGTTGTGTAGTGTTTTAAAAGTTCATTGTTTTTTTTTCAATGCTGCATAATATTCTATTGTGTTCCACAATATACCACAGTTTTCTCATGCATTTGTTGTTGATGGGCTATTGGGCTTCTTCTATCTCTTAGCTACTGTGAATAACACAGCAATAAACACAGGTGTGTATACATCTATTTGAGTCACAGCTTTACTTTCTTTAGGGTATCCTCCCAATAGTGGGGTGGTGTTGTTAAGTGCCGTCGAGTTGCAGGGCACTCATAGCGACCCTATGAAGGAGAATCTCAACGCTTGTGTCTTTCATCCTCTCTTCCAGGTTCATAGGGTTTTCTGAGGCAAGCTATTACGGAAGTGGATGCCACTCCTGCTTCCAAGCTTGTTTTAATCGGAGAGGGGGGGGTGGGCTCCACCCCACACTGTCCGCATTGGGTAACCAACCATTAACGCATTTGACACATCAGT